TCCCTGAGCGAATGCTCGCCCGTTCATCGAACGACAATTTATGGATCGTTGAACGCAACCGGTGTAAACAAGAGCGTTCGCGTGTCCTGTTCTCTCGATTAATAAAAAGAATAAGAGAAGGTGAGAAAAATCGATTCGAAATTATTCCAGTCGGACCAACTTTTCCTCGATGAACCCAACCGGAACCAAAATTGAGTCTCTCTTACGTAACAAGGCCTTCGAGCGATAGTGTATGCGTTATCAAACGCGAATACGCCAACGAATTCTATCGCGCGAGAGAGAGATAAATGAAAAAGAACATAAAACGCTTATAGCCATGTTCGTTTTATCGACCGCAACGTCAATCTTCTTCCTCAACTACCTTATCCCCGTCGTGTCGATGTTTATTGTTTCGCTATATAGGAGAAATCGCAATCACCTAGGGCAAGCTTGGAACGCACGCGCGCGCGCGCGCGCGCGCGCGTCGTGATTTACGCGCGTATGCCTGCTCGATTTCACGGTACGGCGCGTGTTTTATGAACTCCTTCGACCATTCCGCAAATAGAAGAGAATCTTGTGCGAGGAGTTTGTACTTGGTGTAGACCCGTTCCGGGACTCCCGCGACGAACCGGTCGTTGATTAAGCACCGATAATCTATGATCCTTTCGGATGCGCGGACACGTTCGCCGTGGTTGCAAATTTTGTCCGCCGCGTCTCTGACAAATTTTTTGACAAAGGAAAACCTATGGCATAGGACGCGCCGAGGACTCGCAGCGCCGTTATCCTTGGGACGCGAACGTGGATCGGAAAATTATACGCCGGCTACCCGACGTAAATGGAATGAAGTTATTCGAAAGTCTTTCTTACAACGTTTACGTTACAAGGTATAAACTCGCGACGAAGTGATCCGTAGCGATGCTCCGTAAGCGTAGCGCGCTTACACGTTTACACGTACCTACACGTATCTACGTGCCTACGTTCGTGCTTCGTAAAAAGGATCTCGTATGGGTTAAAACGTTAAATTATAAACGTCTCTCTCTCTTTCTCTCTCTCTCTCTCTCTCTCTCTATCTCTCTCTCGCGCGCGCGCGCGCGTAGAAACGACGTCGTCCCAGAAAGACGAAGAAGATCATTTTCGCGAGAAGAGTAGTAAAAATAATTGATTAAATTATACCGGTTTCTCTGGATGTCACATTCTCCTTCGAAGTAAAAGGAGAAACGAAATCTGAATATCAATGCCATGGGATTGAGCCCTTTTCAAGAAAGGGAGAAGAAGAAGAGAGAAAGAATCGATAGAAAATGCGCTCGCGAATGAAGAGTGTAACGATCGAGTCGAGAAGGACATTTGCGTCTACGAATCGCAGCACGCATCTATATTCCGAGCGTAGAGAAGAGAATCCATTCGTCGTTATCTCGGAGAATCACTTTTCTGAAGAGCTAGAAAGAAGAAAGGAAAAAAGGGGAAAAAAATCGAGCGGACCGGCGAGCCGGCCGCGCAACGCATCTTAATGTCCCGGTCGATAACGCGAGAGTAACGCGAGTAACCGATAATAAAAATATATTACGTCTATAGCTCGACGACGGACCGCTCATCCTGCACCGTCCTCTCGTTGGCCAGCTAATCTAAATATCGATTCCTTCTCTTCCAGAAAGCTACGCGTCTCTCTCTCTCTCTCTCTCTCTCTCTCCCTCTCTCGGAGGGCATCATTCTACGTCCGCGGCGTCCGGTAGAATATCTCATGCTATGAGATATTCCATTGTATGTAGGTATAGCCAAGACGCGTAGCAACGTTGTAAAAAAAAAAAGAGGAAAAAGAAAATAATAGTCGGAGAAGAAAAGCTTGCTTCCGCGATTTCGCCGCGAGCAACGAAAGCGTATCCCCCTCCTCGTCGTCGATTTGTCCTATCGCGCTTGTCGGATCTGCATTGCAAAATTCGAACGAGCCTCGCGCATCTCGGCTCGTATCTCGATGCAGCGCTATCGGTTGCGGATGCAAGCATCAGGGTCGAGTAAGATAGCAAGGAGAATTTAACGGAGGCAGACATATTCGTAGCTGTCTTGGTTAAGGTAGGTGCACGCGCGCGAGCGTCTCCATGTAAACGAGCAGTGCCGAGCTCGGACGTTTCTGCACCCTGTGGCATGCGTCGAGATAACCAGAAAAGCTTCCTCTTTCATTCTTTTCGATCTTATCTCCGCTTGTATCCCTTTCGAATGTCTTCTATCCGCCAAGGAGATCGCCGCTACTCTTCGATTATCATATTTTCCTCGACGAATCTACTAACCTATGGAACTTGGATTCTCTCCAACGAGAGATCATGGAAGAGGCTTCCCAAATCTCACTTTTACTCGAGCTCGATCCAAACGAGAATCTGCATACGGGAATCCAAGCCGGATCTTGATGTGCCCTGACGAACGTCATTCATTATCGCGATTCCTTAACGGCGGACGCGTTCTATTAAAACCAGCTCCATTCAATGTCTCGACTATCGCCGATAGTCACGACAATAACGATCGAAAATATTCTTTCTTTTTCTTTTTCTTTCATAGAAAAGCATCGTCGGCAAATGCAAGATCGGTAATATCAGTGATCTCTTCTGGTAGCTGAATCCGGTGACAACTTACCGCAATATCGAGAACGTTGGTAAACCGTCACGCGTGCACACACACGGACGAAGGGAAAGACACACGTGCGTTCGATAGAGGATCTAAAGAGAGAGAGAGAGAGAGAGAGAAAACGTCGACTGTGGACGCATCGACGGCCAATGCGAGCGAACGTAAATCATAACGCATAACCATTCGTGGTGCAAGCTCCACCTTCCTTCGATGCACGCTTACGTATGTGCGTACGTCCATGCGTCGTCCTAGCCGTACTAGTCTTCGTCTTGGTCGTTGACGGTGGCTACGATACCATTATCGCCTTTTCCGTATCCCGCGTTCTCGCTAGACGGCTAATATATTTTCCGGCGCTTTAATAATAATCCGCTATGCTCGGGTTAAAACGTCGACTGAGGATGAATTATTGGATCGAGTCGAATCGAATCTAGCCACGCTTAGACATTCCTATCCTCGACTACTAGTTGCACCGAGAGTGCATTCTTTCCGTCCTTATTCTACTCTTTTTCAAAGGAGAGAAAAGGAAGAGGGAAGAGAGAGAGAGAGAGAGAGAGAGAGAGAGAGAGAAATAGGTTTTTACCCAACGACGAGAGGCAGTTCCGTCTCGTCTTTCCTTCTTTTCTTGCCTTTCGCATGTGCTCCGTCTCGAAGAATGTCGCAGGTGCTTCGTCCCGAAGGAAAAGAATCGGTCGATCGATCGATCGGTACTCCGCTAGATCGCTCTGAACGCTTTTTGCACGATCCGAGACTCCAAAGGAATGAGTTCCCCTTAACGCTCCAAGCATTGCAAATTTTGCGAGTCCTTGCTAGAGGGGCTCCTACGAATCGACTAGCTTTTCCTTCTTCCCCTATTTTCTTATTCTCTCGTTGGAAAAAAAAAAGGAAAATATTTCCTCGCGTCGAGAACGAAACGAAAGTTTTCTTCTGGAAAATCAAGTTGCTTCTAAAATTTGCATATGAAAAAGTAAAACATGCTCGATAATATCACTCGATATAATATCGTGTAATCAACGGACGATCGTTGATAAGGGAAGAAGTAAATGGGAATAAGTAGGAATCGTTTGCGAGCGACAATGCGATACTGCGGTACTGGCGCCGTATCGTTGAGAAGGAAATTATTTATCGCTGATCCGACAAGAAGTATTACCGTGGAATACAAGCGACGTTTATTAGCTCAGGAGCAAAAATAATGTTCTACATACTCATTTAATGTATATTAATATCTCAGCAGCATATATATATATATATATATATATATATATATATATAGAGAGAGAGAGAGAGAGAGAGAGAGCATCGTCGAGATGATCGGATTTAATATAGCGTTGCACTCGAGCTAGCATCGGATCGTCTCGAATTTCTATTCGTAAATGTCATCGCGTCGGTATCGAAGAAAAGAATACGAATTTCTCGAATATCCGCAAAAACTTTCCTCTCCTTTCCAACCATTTTTTCTATGGACTGCAGATAAATAATTTGGTCGCGACTTTGATTCGTGCAAAATCGATCGTGGCGATCTGACAAAAGAATCCAAGGAAAATTTTTAACCGACCATTTGTCGAGGAACGAACGAAGAAACCGGTAGCGATAAATCATACTTAGCTTCTACCAACGCTTATAACTCTGATAGGCGCGCGGCGCGTATCTCGACGAAGAGACGATGAAAAGTTCTCGGCAAGGCTCGCAGAACACCGAGGAGAGAGGATCATCGATTTACGATATCCTCGGTCCATCTCGATCCGATCGATGCCGCTTCGATCTTTACGCATCTATGTACCCACCCATATCTATAAATATACGTTTATTTATACGACTCTCTACGATCGGAAATCGGATTTTTATCCACGGTGAGTTTCCGTTCCCGCAGCCTCTTATTCTACCCTCGGTTTTTTCTCCCTTAAGAAGGAGAAATGGAAAGTATTTTGGAAAGGCCAAGAAACGTCTGAAATCTCGAGGCGGAGACTCACGAACGATGCACAGCGGTATTTTTAGACGTTAAAATCGGTCCATAAATTAAATCCGCAAAAGGACCAAGCGCGGCCGAGCTAAATGGAACGACGAGCTATGCTCGTTTCGTTCGAGGTTCCTTTCAAATTTTTTCCACTTTTTCCTCCTCCTCCTCCCTGATTTACTCCTTTTTTCTCCTCCCCACCTCACGTCTCTATCTTGCTTCAACGATAATTAAGGAAGCAGAAAATTTATCCGTATTTCTTTTTTTTTTTTTCTTTTCTTTTTTTTATTATTAAATAGCGTCAAAAATTCGGCTTTACGGATATCTTGGAAATTGAATTGGCTGGTTAGCACTAGCGAGAAAAGATATAAATGGTAATGTTTTTGAAGAAATAATAAAAAAGTGTCGATCCTCGCACGTTGAGATCGATCGTTTGGCCGAAAGGTCAAGACTATATTCCCGCGCGCGCGCGCGCGCGAGGGAATCGTCTTTTTTTCTCTTCAACTTTTTTTCACTTTTTTCGCGTAGAAAAAGGTCTATGGAGGGTCTGACGCTATAAATTAAAACGTATCCGCGCTGGCGAGATAGCCGTGGAAAGGACACTCCGTCGATAAAATTATAATTTTATTGCACGGTGGGTGCTATTTTTATCGGCGACGTATGTAGGTACGCTATCGGGTATATCGCTTTCTGAAAAGAAACACGCATTCACGAACGATATATTCTTTTTCCCTTCGCGTCTGGGTCGCGCGCGTTCGTTCGTTAACGATTAAAATTTCCAGCGCCTTCATGAAGTCTCGCCGTGAAGTCGGATAAGATACGTCCGTATATTTACAAAGGTGCCTTTCGTCCGAGCATTTCTTCTTTTCTTTTTCTTTTTTATTGTTGCTTTTTTCTCTTTTCGTTTTTCGTTTTTTCTGTTTATCTTAACATTTTTTTTTACTCTCCCTCACTTTTGGAACGTCCTCTTGGATTTTTTATGTCACGGCCTTGGAAGATTCGAAAAACACGGACGAGCCCGTGATCGATAATAAACTTTTAAAGGATTGCACAAGATCTCGGGAGTTTATTCTCTCCGAACAAATCCGTCTTTAGCCGAAAATATTTGAAGCGATCATCGTCCGAGTTATTAAGAAAAACGGGCGTCCACCGAGCTGCTCTCTCATGAGATCCGATCGCTCCTGTGTACTTTCATCCGTAACCCAATTCTTTCTTTCGCTTTGACTCGGTTCAACGGCTCTTGAAATGGTCTTGAATCGATCTCTCATCCTCTAATCGCGCATTCCTAACCGTTACGCGCGGCTACTATCGAATTCAAGGGAAAGTTTCGTTGCGTACGAAACACGAGCGATTTCAAACGGCCATTGCCGTTAGGAACTAACCGAAGGAAGCTTCGTGCCGATCGATCGGGAAAACTGAACGTGGAATAAAAGACAAAAGAAGAGGAAGATGCGATTGGTCAAAGTTCAAAACTATACTTGGAAGAAAGCTTTCGCTGAGAGTACCAACGACGTCCAGTTCTCACCCTGACAGGAGATTTCGGGTAAGGAGTTGGTTGTTGGCCACGTATTTACGTATGACTATTCTATACAGGTAGAAGTGTTTGAGGACAGGTGAGAGAAAAGGAGAAGTGTCTGCGAACTGGACGACCCACGGGGCAGAGAGAGAGAGAGAGAGAGAGAGAGCTAGATCGCCATCGTTTAGGAATAAAGGATGAAAGATAAGGGCAGTTCGAGGAAAAAGGGAGAAAGAGGAAGAGGAGCTGGCCCGTAAGAAACAACGAAAGGGAGAGAGAGAGGGAGCCGCGCGAAACTGACCAATAGATCCGGTTTAGCCAGTTTCCGGATTCCGTGGGTCATTGGGATCGAGCTTTCCCCTTTCTCAAGCGGTACCATCCTCCGCTCTATCGCACGGGTTGTCCTCCCTCGTGGAAAGGTCCGCTAGCGCAACCCCTTTTCTCTCTCTCTCTCTCACTCTCGCTCGCTCGCTCGTCCACTAGTCGCGTTGTCCATCCGCATACATTAACTGTCCATCCTGCGAAGAAATCCGGTTTTGTGACAATAAGCGATGATAGGGGCTGGACAGGGAACCCTTGGAATCGTCATAGGTCAGTCGACTCCCTAAACTCGGCTTCTGTCTCACGTTCAACCTGCCTGCAAGGTGAGTGTGTGAGACACCGGCGTTGATCGGTAATACTCTTCTTCTGTCCAGTTACGACGTTTCCTTTGGGGATGACCATCACCTATCCGACGTCGTTACTTCTTCCTACGGTGGGAACGAAAACCTGATCGCGGGAGTCTTTCTAAAACTTTGAAGAGCGTTCCCAACGAGAGAATCGTTTCGAGTAACGACATGGACGCGTACGTTGCGAAGCAGAAGAGGAGCAGAACCAAAGCTCCGTTCTTTCGACGGAGGGTGCCGTGCAAAGGGGGGAAAAATATATATATACATATATATATACATATATGTGTGTGTGTGTATGTATAAAAAAAAGATGAAAAAGAAAAAAAAGCGGATCGACCGGACAGTGGCCACGAGCGAGTCTCCGTCTTCTTTCATTTTTGGAAGGAGGAACAAGTTCTCCTAATTCGAACCGGTACGAACGTGCAACGTCTCGTTTCGCGCGGAAACGAGATTGGAAAAATCCAAAGGGGAATCTTAGAGAAAAGACTTTTGGAAGGGAAAAGAGACGGAAGGAAGAATAAATAAATGCGTGGACCGTTGCTATCCGAGGACTTTGTGCGTCGTTGAACGCGAACGACGGTTACGGAGGATCGTTAACCGTCTTGCTTTTAACGTCTCTACTTATTTGCTCGTCCAGCTGGCGTAGACATTACTAGAAGAGACTTTGAGGACGACTACACGCTGGATTCGTCGAGCACTATCGTAAGTGCTTCGTTTAATTCGTTTGATCTTTGAAGGAATAAGTTTCAAACGTTATTTCGTTTCCATTAAATCGAATGATTTTTTAAAGAGAACGTTGAAACGTACACGCGATCGTTGGATGCCCGCACGAAGTCGATACGGACAGGATGCCGCCGTCCATCGTCCGAGGAACAGGAGAAAGGGAAGAAATGAAGGGAGGAGATCGAAGGAAGCTACAATCTTTTCATTCGGGGCGCGATAAACGCGCCGCCGACTTTTGCGGTGAATAAAATGCAAGGAATCCGCTCCTTTTGCATTATTTATCTCTTTCTTTGTCGCTCTCTTATTCCCCTTTCTCCCTCTTTTTCCGTCCTTCTATCGCGCCTCCCAAGGCGCATCGCACGGCCAGGAACCTATTGAGCCGTACAAGATAAACGCTAGTAATTGTTAGCACCGACGCAAAAAGCTGTTATTCCGATGTATCGTGCCGAGAGAGAGAGAGAGAGAGAGAGAGAGAGAGAGAGCCGAAACTCTACACGCACGCGAACGCACCCATTCGTGACTTTCCAGAGCGCGTTACACGAGCGTGCCCCGAGTAAACCAGAGTCGACGCTGAGAGCTTTTAACCGAAGAAGACGGATAGACGAAGGTAGTACGTGAGAGTGCGAGAGAGAGAGAGAGAGAGAGAGAGAGAGAAAAAGAGTCTTATAAATGCACGCACGGAAATGCACATATCGATACGTAGGCTGCATATGTATGGATATGTAGGCTGTACACGCGACACCGACACGAAGACAGGAGTATACGATAGAAAAGGAGAAATGTATATAGAAGGAGAGCGACTCGCCGGATAGTCCCTGGTCGCTCGTCCGTGTCGACCTATTCGATCGAACGACCGTCGTTTATCATTCTGGTCTCCTACCTCCCACCCTCCTCTCATCCGCTAACCATGTGACTCGACCGCCCATCGACGTCCTATCGGCGATATCATTTTTTCCCTCTCTCTCTCTTGCTCGCTCGCTCGCTCGCTCTCAACGATGCGAATTATAAACTCTCTCGGCACCACCGAAGGTGGCACTTTTAAAAAAAGGCTCTCGGACTACACCGACGTACGTCAATGTCCGAACAGGCTTCCGCGATAAGAAGAAACGCCGATAAGGACCGATCAAGTTCCTTCGATCGCGATTCGCGATTTTATCTTCTTTGTCGATTTTATGTAATAAGAAGAAACGCAACCAACTGGAACGTCGATAAGGTCTCTCTCTCTCTCTCTCTCTCTCTCTCTCTCTCTCTTCCTTCTGATCTCGTTTCGACTCTCTATCGTGACGTCGAGATTTCCATCGTAAAAATTAATATTCTTGGCGTCGCTTATGCAAATTGGCGAGAACTCATTGCGCTCACTGCAATCAATTTGTTAATTGCGTATACGCTATCCACATATGTACGTAGACAAACTTTGCCAATCGTTTTCAATTATTCACGGAGAGCTTAGAATGGATCGTTACTTTCACCGTGTTTCGAGAAGAGCGACTCGAAAAAGGTTCGATTCGAAAAAAGAAAGGAAAGAACAAAAGCGAAGATAGGAGAGGGCGTTGGTTCTCGCGGAATCCGGTTTTCCGTAAGAATACCGTAGGTAAGTATACCCCATTAGAGATACATCCATTCATAATCCATTCGTAATCCATTCATAAATTAACTCTGGCAAAGGATAATAGAAAGAGATCGGCCTCGTAAGGACTCTCTCTCTGTTGACCTGCGAACCGGTCGGCCGGATCAGAGGAGAGACGAACGGTGGAATGAGAAACCGAAGCGGAGAGAGAGAGAGAGAGAGAGAGAGAGAGAGAGAGAGAGAGAGAGAGAGAGAGTGGGAGAGATAATGCGTAGCAGCTAGATGGGCAGCGATTTCGCCTCGTTTGCGCTACTCGCGCGCGAATAGTCGAGACGTCGCGAGAGGGAATTTATGCGTTTAGGCGTCGGCTACGATCCTGATGTATACTGCCTCGTATAACGTTGCTATCGTGGCCAACGAACGTAATGGCCTTCGTTCAGCGCCGCGAATAACACCGTACAACAACACCGTTCCTTCGAAACCTTAGCCTTACTAAACCATCGGTAATTGTTTATCAGCGATTCTCGACCGACCGTGGTGTCTCTTTCATCGACGATTGGACGAAAATTGGAAGGATCGAAAATCCCCCCTTAAGAATAGAAGGGAAAAATAGAAGCGATCGTAGTGTAGACATATCGATCCAGGAATGGACTTTCGAGCGAATGAAAAAAAGTAACGGATTCGAAACAATTCGAAAACAATTTGTCTTCGATCGAATCGAGATAAGAGGTAGCGAACGAGCGAGCAAGCATAGAAGAACGCGACCGACTACGTGGTACAAACACACGTACGTGTTTCTCTAAGTATAATGCATTTTGCAACGGGCAGTGTATAACTCACGCGGAAAAGGCGGTAGTGCTTAACGGACGGACGGACGCGGAACGCTCGAATTCGAGCGTGAAGCCTGATATGAAGTACGTACATATGTAGGTACTTCAAGTCGTAGCCAAAGCGACTACGACTGCGGCTTATTACCGCGTTTGGTTCGCTCAATAAAATAACGTGTTAACGTCGATAAGACGGCTAAATTTACTGTGCCGCTCCAGCCTTTAGGGTAACGATTAATAAATGGCTTCGGCTACAGAAATTCGGGATACTTTCTACAATCGCAGTAGGCGTAACAAAGTTTAAACGCTAATCTGACTTCCTCTGGCTTTTCAAAATTTGATTCCTGGCTTTGCGTAATATTTGATTTTCTCTTTGAACAATTAATATCTCCTTACTTAGATCACGAATCGTCGATCGATCGAACTTTGGTGCGAGGTAACGTTTACCATAACTCTATACGGGGTACGTGTAATTTCATTTGTCGCGGGAGATCCTATCGACGAAATTTATATGCTCGCCCTTAGGAAATACGTCGTGGAAAGCGATAAAAGCGTCCATACAGCGGCCCGTTCTAACGTAACCATCGTGTCGATCGTATAATGGAGCGTTCGTTGGATACGCGCACGGGTCATCGAACGTCCATCTCGTCGTCGTCGTCCTCCCTCTCCTCCTTCCCCTCCTCCTCGTTCTACCCGAACGAAGAAGAGGAAGAAAGAGAGGAAGCTATCGGTAATTATTTATCGAGCGATCTTGAATGACGGTCACGTATACGCGCTCTCGTCTCTTCTCAAACAGGATCGAAGGAGAATCTCGCCGACGATGCGTCGGCATTCGCGGTGTATTAGAAGCAACGCGGAGGTATCGAACGTATTCTCCGCTACTGCCTACTCTTCGTTTCTTCTCCTTCCTCCTTAATCCCATCTCCTTTTACTCTTCTCTTTGATCGCAAAACGCATACGTTCCTTTCGTTCGACCGATCCTTTCGTTGATTTCTTACTGAAAAGAAACGGTTGTCCGACGTCAATTCCTTACGCCTCTTCGCAAATTTTCTTTCAAATGAAAATCTATTCTTTAATCGATGCTCTTTCTCTCTCTCTCTCTCTCTCTCTCTCTCTCTCTTTCAAAGTAGCACTAGTAGGCCGCGTGCTTACGATAATAATCGACTCGAAAGGACTCTACTACGCATTAACGGTACAATACCCTATTAGCCTTTAAATTCCAGTATCGGATCGTCTTCTTGTTAACGTTCTCTCCGCGACAAAGCACTATCGTTCCCGTCGTTCTATCCATTTAACTCTTATATAAATAAGCTCTTACTTTTCTTTATCTCATCTCTCTCTCTCTCTCTCTCTCGAGAGAGAGAGAGAAGTCACGCTATTTCCTTCGAAATAATTAGACGGCCAATAAATCCGACTATTGGGACTTTTTAATCTGACATTCTTCTCTTCTTCCTCTCGATCGTAAGAGAGGCTCGTGTTATCGATCGCAACGGCGCGGAGATCGAAATCGCGAATTCTACGCGCTCGATTTGCACCAGGAGGCGGCGCCGGTGCCAAGAGTCGGGGACCCATTGGCCACCGCAATGACCAATCATCATTTGACATTCTTTCGCCTTGGTCGTCGTGTGCATTTATCCCACGAGCACGCAGATGGAGAGAGATAGAGATAGAGAGAGTGCGAGAGAGAGAGAGAGAGAGAGAGAGACGAAGACTCGACGAGACGTCGAGGCACGCGTACGAGACGCACGCGAGCCAGAGAATAACCACCACCATCGTCACACCACTATTCTCGGGATTATCGAGATCGCGAAAAATGTTGCACGCATGCGACGGTGGAAGGATAAAAGAAAGGATAGGAAGCGTTCCGCGCGCACTTGCGCAGTATCCTGAGGTACACGCGTCGAAATACCGATCGTTTCGTATACTTTGCCAGGAAATTCTAGAGCTCGACTTTTACAAACCGATCCTTACCGACCCTTACTTTAATTAAAAGTTTACGTTAGTAATTGCGTCCGAACGTGAACACGCGATCGAGGATAAAGAAATGGTAATGCCGTTGAAATACTTCTCGTCCCTCGAAAAGTTCCACGCTCATAAAAAGAAACATCGTATCTCGTTTTTCATCCTCGAGAATCGTTTCTAACAGCGATTAGAGATGCGTTTCGAAGGAAAAAACGGCGGATATCGATGCTTTAGGAGAGGCACGTAGCCGTGCGAGATGGGCAATGCACTTTCTCATTACCGGCACGTAGACGAGTCCGTGGCGAACGGCTAAATACTCGATAAACGTACCTTTTACAGGAAGCACCATTGCAGGATGGGTAGCTATATAAAGGAGCCGGAATGTACCCTGTCGCGGATTAATTACAGTTTGGAGGGGGAGAATTATCCAGGGGATGTCCCACCGGTGGGACCGATGTGGATAGATTTTCTTCTAAGTGCACGTTACGCATGGGTGTGTCCCTTTCGTTTCGCGGACTCGAGCTCCTTTCGCTCGCTCGCTCGAACTCGACTCCCAGGAATGTCGCGTCGATCTCCTTGCGCCAACGATTACTTCCTCCGTACTTTGGAATTTCATTGACCGTTCCTTCCAATGTACTTTAAGTACCTTTAGTTCGTAGAATAACTTTATCGACGATTCTGTCGGTTAATATCTATAAATGTTCATCTTCGATATAAGCTAGGAGGACGTACGTTAGGAGAAGCAAAGTTGCACGGCAGGGACAAGGAGGGTTGTTGACTCGATCCGTAGGAGAACATCTACGATGGAAAAACATCGACGTTAAGCATTCT